GGATTGGATCAGATTAGACCTGATAATTTGATTAGAACCAAAAAAGTTTTTACATTGCCTTTGTGCCAGTCTCGTCACTGTACATCAGGTAAGCATCTTTCTATTTCATAAAATTCAAATGTCTTACCATCGATTTGCTTCTTTCCGAATTACTGATAGAATTTTTTTCACATACTTAATGCTTATATAAGCAACTGATAAACTGATAAAATATTAAGCAACTCCTTCTCTTTTAAGCTCCTCTCCGTATCGGGGTAGAAAATATTTCTCACGTCAGGTTCTTGTTTTTTTTTTTTTTTACTTTCTTTTTTGTCGTTTTATTTTTAACACAAAAATCATTGGCCTGACAATAAATGCCGCTGATGCAGCTTGATGACGATTGAAGGCTGTCACTAATTTTTTTTTCTATTGCTTTTTTTACCATCGTGCCGTTTTTCAGCATCTCTGGATGGGCCTGGAATGTTGTAAACCAAACTACCCCATCGAAGATGAATCAGACGAAAAAGAGGTGGTCCGCTTTTTTATGGTTGGTATGGGTGGTGCTGGAAAGTCAACAGTTATACGACAATTAATGAAACTTTGTATCGACTGTCCAAATTCATATAAACTTTATGACAGCGAATGGGTTGAGAAGACGAGCATTCACAGCGAGGGAGATCTTCGAAAGTGGAAAATTGTCATCCAGCACAACATTCTTGAGGCTTTCTGCAATACCATCAAAGTAACCAAAAAACGCTATCCCGAATTCTGCCAAATTTATCTTAAGTAATACTCATTTTTTTCAGCAAAACAAAACCAAAAAAAATTTCTTTTCTTTAAATTCTTAACTATGAAATAACCTGCCTAAAAAAGGCTAATATTAACAGATAATACTCTTTCCTCTCATTCCCAACTCTTGAATACCAGCAAGCTAATTTTTCCGCTTGAAATCTGGAGAACGATAAAAATGAAAAAAGCGCTATTATGTCCTTTACAACTGGTAATACAAGCCTATTTCTAAAAAATGGTGAATAACTGGACCAATAAACTATGAATATCTGCTTTTCATATAATAAGGTCGTCGTAGTTCCTCATTTTCTGTATACTTAATACTAATAACAAGGAAAAGACAAAAACATACTTTCTACATAAACTTTGCTTAGAAGTAATAAACAAAATTTCTACTTTGATTTTCATCGTTGTTGCCTAAATTTACAAATTACTACACAATTTAGCAAAGCAAACTGTTTGGATTTGAATTCAACGGATTGCAAAGCCTAGTTGTCTCTGAAGTAGAGAAACTATGTGGTGACGTCCGAACGCTGCACCTTCGTACAGCCGAATGGTCACCCTTTTTCAATGAAGAACTTGGACGAAAACTCATAACTTTAATTTCAAATGAAAAGGTTTGCTGAGTTCAAATTTCCTCTACAGCAACGAATGCTTATCACAATTGTTAAGACTTGCCTTTCTCGTGGAATTACCTTTCTAAACCTGCTATTTTTGGCCCAACAAATGCTGTCACTAAAAGTATTGAGAGTCAAAATTCCTTGGCTAAAAGTTTGACACATTTTTTGTGCGGGTGTGTAGGCGCTGAACGTATAAGAAACGAGTACTTTAAGGATCCTATAAAGTGCGCATTAAAACGATGTCACGAATTTGCTGCCGAATATCGACTTCCCGATGGTGTCGATCACTTCATTACTCCGCAAAAAATCATGGTATGTAGTATTTTCACAGTCTTCAAACCAACAAATGATTATAAACAGAGTTTAAGCGCCCACCTTATAGCTACACAGGAAAACCCCGCATCCGAAAATCGGGAAAAACAGTGCCAAATTTTGATAATTTGTGGTAGCAAAATGTGCTTTTGGATTTTTGACTTCAGCTGACAAATAATAAGTTTTAAAAAATATACAGACCAAAAAAAACCGGTAGAAGAACACAGCAACTTCCTCTACAATCATAGATTTTTATAATACCTTAAACGGTTCTCCTGACAATCTTCCCATATCCCTCACCAACCCCGCAATAACCAACTAGTCTTCCAACAGATTTAGAACGACACTACTTCTCAGCTTGCAAATAGAGCTATTAAACAAAACAATGCTCGCCTTTGCATGCTGAAAAACAACTTCAGGAGTATGCTAGGGCGGATACACTTCCAGATGAAGATGACATTGTTCACGCTCGAAACCCAACTTCAGGTCTCGATTATTACCATTTTCTAGTTCACAAAATGAGAATACAAATCCACGATATGGGTGGTCAAATGGTTGAAAGGGTACGTTGCTTTAATGCCAAATCCTGAAACAATAACTGACATAAGAAAAAAAATACTTGTTTACAAATTCCCTCACAAAAGTGACCAACACCTAAAGTCCAATAACGGGTAATTATCAAAAATATTGTCATTTACAAAACTGAAATATCACTTGTTTTAGAAAAAAGTTCTCGAATACCTCTCACACTGGATTTCGGATTCAAAACCAAACCACCGAAATTTTATTTTATATGTAGTATCCATTGCCGACTACAACGTCATTCATCCTAGTAGACGTCAATATACTCTGCTCGATGAAAGTATCGCTTTTATGAAGGTAAATTCATCAAAACGACCTATCAGTACTATAACTCAGACTAAAAACTGTGTAAATGATAGTTTCGAACGTCATCCCCCTTATCCACCTTAAATTTGAACCAACGCTCCTACTCTCATCAAATGTTTAATGAATTCAAGTTGAAATTTTAACTGACTAGCATAGCGTAACTTTTTCAGATGATCCTTAATCTCAGTCAAGTACAAGAATGTGGTTTTCTCATTTTCTTTAACAAATCAGACATATTTGACGAGAAAGTCAGCGATGAACACTTCAGGCCGGATTTCAGGACTTTCCTCAAAGAATTTATCAAAGAAGATGAGCTTAAGAAATATGAACGAGGTAATTGCAAGCCAAGTAAAACGGTAGTATTTTACCAATGCAACACGGCCAGCAACTTCACTACCGCCAGGAAGATATTCAACCTGTAAACAATATATCCTATCAAAAGAATGCTCCACCACCACCCATTTCAGGAGCTCCTGTGAAAAGTGAAGTGTTCCGCAAAGCAATAGCAAACAAATTCGCTAAGGAAATATCAAATAATGCAGTAAAACGAAAAGCTCCCGTATATCACAGGTATGTCTGTCTTCAAAAATCACGCCACTCCACCTCTTTCTCTTTCAAAAAAACGACTTCCAAAACTACCACAAATTACTACTTTTGTACAATAATATCCAACAGGTGCCATCACGCAAAAAAACTCGAACTGCACCACATCACTAAAAAACAGCCTCCAGAAATTTCTCTTCCGTTACCTGCTATTTTCAGGTTTACCTGTGCTGTTGACAGCAAAATGATGGAAAACCTATTCTGCACAATACGATCTGAAATTGTTCACAAAACAATAATTAATCAAGACTGGGTGTTCCCATAATTATTAATATGTACATTACTCCCTCTCCCTCCCTCTCAAAAAAAAAAAAAA